GAGTTTCTGATTCTGCCTTGCAAATTAATGTCCCTTTATGATTCCGATCTAGCTACATGCACTAATGCATTAGTAGGCTACTGTAAGAAGGTTGTTTCCTGTGGCCATGAAAATATCCTTTCTTAGAGTTGATATGAAATTACACTAAATGTTCGCTGGATGAACAGATTGGTTGATGGCAATTTAATTCTGCTACAGTTACTACTGGCAGCCAGTATAAATAATTGTAATTAATCATAATTAATTGTAATTATTTATAGACATTCCCTTTTGAGCTAATTTGCTATACAGTATATAAATGGGAATATTTTGCAGTCTTAGTAATTTTGAGTGTTCTAACTTAAATTTGCTTGTTTTATGCATATATGGTATGGTAACTCGAGACAAGTGTTGCCTATAGACTGGATACTTTAGTTAAGGTTCTTACCCTATGAAACAGTTTAATGCAGCCAGGGTTTTAATCTGCTTGATACAGTGGGCAACGGTTACACAGCACACACAGTTACACAGCTATACACTATTATACAAAAATCATTACAAAAAGCCACTACATTACACTCAGTAGATTTCACTCATATTCACATCATGAAAAATCTCACTGTTTAGGAATCACACTATATTGCAGGCAACACACACAGACATACATTTATAATTATCTATTAAGTGAAATGTAGTGAACACAGTCTTTTTAAGTCTATAGTTACCTTCTTCAACAGAGGTATTTGCTCTGAAGAAATATTTGCCATGACCTCTGGACAGGGCCACTCCTAAGCTGAAAACACGAGAAATAAATAATAGACATCTAATTGAGTACAGAAATTTACATCAACAATCTATTCTGCATTCTATTTGTTATAGTATTTATTAATCAATTCTGACTTCCTAATGCTGTTAATTTCTCACATAATACTATAGATTTTGTACAATAACCAAGCTCTAATTTTTTTCACCACATCAGCCAATGTTGGGCAAATTAACAACATTACCAGCCATAAATGATCCTGAATCCATAAACTGCATCTTTTTTGGTGGGTTGTAATGTATCTGCAAATTAAATGTGTTGCCAAATGGTAATCCAGTGTTGTGAAAAAAAGAAATGACACTACTTTTAAAATAGTGTAAAATAGTGAAATCATCAACTGTTAATTTACTTTCTTGCCAAAGTCAATTTTTATTTACATTTGGTGCTGGTGCTAGTGTTCATTTTGGACCTTGGCTATACATGTTTAAAATCTTTTTGGAGCTGTGCTGCAGTAGATAGCACTATTCGGGTTTGTGCAGTGGGTAGTGCAGTGGGTTTGAGTCCAGCCTACTGTCTCCGTCTCAGTTTTCCTGTTGTTCTACATTGCTCTATAAATATATAAAGAACATCCTTACCTGAAGGGAGTTCCTTTAATGTCTGTGTAGTAGTAGTCATTGTGTAGAACAAGCACACGCTTCTGAGACAGTCATAAACAAACACACAAACACCATAAGAGAATTATAAACCTATTGATAAACCTATTACTTGTGTTTGTTTGTTTGTGTGTGTGTGTGTGTAGATTAAGTTTCTTGCCCCTTTATCCACAGTCTTCTTCACTTTCATAGAGAAGCTTCCCGTCTGCCTGTTCACCATGGCATTACGCAACTGGAGAAAAAAAAAGATTGCATAAATAAAACTACATTGTATTATTTTAATAATAACTGTCAGGGTCTGGCGTCTGGTGTTCTCCCTCTCACCACCAGAGGTCGCCATTTCCCATCCTCCCGGACTCCTTTTCCGTTACCTTGACTCCACACACCTGTGCACACACTCACTCACACACAGCTGTGGCCCATCCTGAGGGCTATTTATGCGCCTTCCCCACGCCACTCTGGGCGGATTATTAAGAATTGGTAATTGTTTGTACTGGGACTGATGCAAGCCAGAAGTGGCCGTATTGTGTCAGATTCCCTCTCTGTTTCAAGCCTGTTTCAGATTCTTAGATCTGTTTGTGTTTCTGTTTTTACCTTTGTTTTTCCCCTGCGTTTAATAAAAACCTGCACTTGGACCCAGACCCTTGTTTACACGGTGTGTTTTCCTAACCGCGTCGTGACAGAATAATCCACCAAACATGGGTCCAGCAAGAAGGTTCCTCAATGTCCGCCAGGGAGACCGGGGCATTGAGGAGTACGCCAGGGACTTCATGGGAGTGGCTCGCCAATCGGCGACGGAGAGGACCTGCGCACTGGTCTGTTTCTGGGGTGGCCTAGCCGAGCCGTTCAGAGCCCTTATGCCATTCTGGCACCCCGAGGAGGCGCTGGAGGA